ACAATAATCACATTAAAATTAATGTATACTCATATGGTCTTAAAGGGACACTATAGTCACCAGAACAACTACAGCTTAGCATCTGTTCCGGTGAGTAGAATCATTACCTTCAGGCTTTTTGCTGTAAACACTGTCTTTTCAGAGAAAATGCAGTGTTTACATTACAGCCTAGTGATAACTCCACTGGCCACTCATTAGATGGCTGCTAGAGGAGCTTCCTTGTACGGCCATTCAGTGTCTCCACCCTCTGCATGCAGACACTAAACATTCCTTATACATGTGCATTGATTCAATTAATCTCTATGAGGAGATGCTGATTGGCCAGGGCTGTGTTTGACTTGTTTGTGTTCCTGATCCTATAGTGTTCCTTTAAGAGTCACAGTCTATGTGAAGCTTGATAAAGTAAAGTTATTTCCTTTTTCTGCTTAAACTATTGTGTCCTCCAATGATTGCACAATACTACACCATAGTTATCATGGATCGTGACAAGGACCTCAATGGTTGCTATGAGATCCTGGGGACCACTGCTCTATTTTTTTATTATTATTATTGAAGATAGGATCTTTTGTATTCTAGGGGACTCCATCAAAGGACCCAAAAGGAAATGAAGGGCAAAGAAAATGACAATGCACAAAGAGAACCATACAATAGTATAAGTAACATGGTACAAAGAACAGTATAATATCAAAAATAATAAGGTACAGTGTAAAGTATACATAGGACTGTACATTGTTATTTGTAATATTATACTGTTATTTGACTAGGACTGTACCATGTTACTTTTACTATTGTATTGTTCTCTTTGGCTACTTATAGGGACTGTTTTTCAGCGGGTGCAAACAGTTGGTTGTTTTCTTTGTTGCTCACTATATCTAGGCCATATTGTAAGGCCAAATTTATATTTAAAACAACTATCTCTTATCAAACAATGAAAGTATAATAACTGTACACAAATTATCTTTCAACTTTGTTTTCACATCGTCAACATTCATGCAAAGGAAACCTATAATTTGTAGAAAGACAAACATTGGGTTAAAATTGATACATCTTGCTGGTTAAAAGTTAATTTCAAGTACATGCCCTGTTTTTTAAAATGTTGCATTTCATCATACCTGTAATTTGAGTATCTTGCTACTCTCAGCCCTGAGGAAGTACACACATTGTTTTTACACTTGGGCTAGTTAATATATTCTATGAGGAAATAATAATTAGGGAGTTTTTGCAACTCAGTGACAATATGAAGGCAACCTTAAAAAATAATGATGTGCAATAAGCTAGAAAAAATTAAAAGATAGAATGCCATATAGGATAATACGAAAACAATGAATGGAATATAATAAATTGTTAAAACAGCTGTGTAGTGTAGTGTAGTTTTATTTACACAAATGACATTTAACCCCTTAAGACCTCAGGGATTGCTATGCCGTCCTTAAGGAAGTGGCTCTAAACGCTGCAGGGCAGCATAGAACGCCCTGAGATCTTATGTACTTACCCGGTCGCCGGCGATCGCACGCCGGCAATCGCGGTATAGGAAGCCCAGGGAGTCCCCCTGCTTCCTATTCGGCCCCACTGGGTCATGTAATCGCGAGGTCCTAGCAAGGTCCTCGCGATCACATGGATGGCATAGCCGTCCATAACAATGCCAGCAGGGGGAGTGCCTGTAATGACAGGTACTACCCCTGCTGTCTGAAAAAAATAAAACAGTTTAAAACAGTGTAAAATAAAATAATATATACTTAGATCATATATATATATATATATATATATATATATTTATTATCTATATGATCTAAGTATATATATGTATATATATATATATATATATATATATACACATAAACACAAATACACATACACTGTCTAAGTGTATTTTAATATTAATATATAAATAATTATATATACATATCAAAGTACACATACAATGATATTGACTAAATATATATATATATATATATATATAATTATCATTATATATATTTATATATATAATATAAAATAAACAAATATGTAAATACGTTAAAAAATTTAATTAAAAAATAATAAAAAATACATAAAAAATGACATGAAAAGTTCATTTTTAACCTGTTATGCTTAATTAAGCTTTCTTTTACACCCACATTATTATACAGCAAATGCGTGTTCTTGCCTCCACAAGTAGTCTATAACTGGAGTGGGCGGAGTAACTGTTATCATTTATATAGCACATTTAATTGCAACGTTGTTGCACAGTTACATTAAACCATACATTTATAAAAACATTAGCAGGTGTTCAAAACGCCCTGTCTATGACATCACTTGCTGCTGCAGCCTGGCACAGGTCAGAGTATTTTGGCGGTTGCCATCTTCAAACGGTCGTATTTTAAAAACTATAAATCCTACAGCGAAGAGCTTTATATTGTGAGAATCACAAGACCCAGACCTACATTTTGATGCATAGTATGTCTCTGAAGTATTAAAAATGAAGGCACAGTCGCAGTTTAGAAATTGCCCTTCAGATGTGAGCTTTGCAGAGTGAAGTTTCAATGAATGTCAATGGACGGCGTGAGTTGCAAACAAATGATTATATTGTGAAAACTATCAGGACTATGGCTTAGCCGTTGACATGTTTAGTGGCAGCAGGGATAGCTGAACGTTTTGATATAAGATTTGTGTAGGTGGGCCTGAAAATAAGGGAGTGGTGGCAGTTTAGAAATCATGTCCTGATTTTTCAGCTTTTGCCAGCTCCCACTCTAGCTTTGCCATTCATTCCTATGGGACAAATTGCGCCACAAGAACGACGATATTCCGTGAACCATTCGGCGAAACATTCCACAAAGTAATAGCAATCCGATCGGGAACAATCTATACGTTTTGGTAAATTTTTGTCTATGTAGTGTAAAAACTGTGGAAGGAGTTAGGGTGGCAAATTTGGCTATAATAAGAATAATAATATATATGTGAGATAACAATAAGTGGTCTTGCTATGCAAGAACACTTAATAAAGGCTATTTCTAATAGATGACATAAGCTTAAACCTACGTTTAAGTCTGAACTATAGCTTATGTGTGTATTAATGCTTTACCCCTATACTCTATCCAATCTTGCCACTTTTTATGATGCGAAAGCTTTCTGCCTTCTATTCTATATGCCATTCTTTCATATTGGCACTTCCTATCTACTCTCTCTAACACCTCTGATATATCTGGTGCGGTTGTTTTTTTCCATTTTTGAGCAATGCTTATTTTGGCTGCCAATAGTATGTGTATGACTGCCGACTTGTTCCATGTCCAACACAGATCTTGATGCATATGTAGAAGATAAAACTCGGGGTGAGTTGGTATTGGTATACTCATCAAAGTATGTATAATTTGTTTAATATCATTTAAAAAATGTGCGAGGTAAGGGCACTCCCAAAAAATGTGGAGTAAGGTTCTGTGGCAAACCTAGCCACTTACAGAATGTCCTTGTATATATCTTGCTATTACTGCATTGCTATTCCTATCTGTGGCCAAACCAGCCACTTAAAGTGTAACCCCCCCTGAATGTAATATGATGTAAAGTGTATTCCTGTGTACTGCTTGGTATCTCCTAAGGCAGGAGATGGCTATCTGTAACCCAACCCCCTCCTGCCTGGAACTAAAGGAAGTGTATGGTGTGGAATGCAGACCCCCCTGCGGAGGTCTGTGTTTAAAGGAAACTGTAATCATTAAAGAGTGTGACTCAGCCTGGTGAGATGCCAGTGTTTTAACCTCCAAGCTATGTGTCGTCTAGTTCTTAGGAGAAAAGGATTGTAACTACGCTACTTGCATTTTACCTACATTTTACCTGCTTCATCTTGTCTACCAGCAAAGATACCGTGGATAATACCACTACTCCGCTACAGGTTCCCTTATGCCTTTGACACGTCCAGCATATGTCAGAGGCGCCTAAGTACATTCGGGCAATTACCAAGTACCATTGCATTAAAACCTTCCTATAAGCTTCCCAGTGAGTGAGGCTATGTGATGTTTGTTTAGTAAGTTTTATAGTTTGATAACATTTAGACAATGAATAAGTTTTTGATAAATCTCGTTCCCAAAGTAGCATATATGGCAATTTCGCTTCCCCATTTAAAAATAGAAGGGCATTACAGCACACTGACAAAGATTTGCTCGCCATGTTGAGTCGCAAGCAAAATTTGCCAAACTGATCTATTGAATCCCTATCAGGTTTTGACACCTTATTAGTTAACAGAACATTCTTAATCCTCAAGTAAGAAAAAACTTCTTTATTTGAAAGGGAATACTCTGTCTGCAAACTTGAATAGGGTTTGATCCCTAAATCATCATATAATAGATGCACATTGTCAATGCCGCTGTCCTCCCATGTGGTGTGAGGCTAGTTATTGCATTTAATGGGGCCAGGGACATAAGTCTTACGCCCTTTAGCAATTTAGGGGCCCATATAGACCAATAATGAAGCATTATTTTAGATAATGGGAGCATGTTTTCCTATTGTCATGCTCAGTGAGGTCTGCCAAAGAAGGCCTTCTATTGAGTAAGGTTTGGCACAAGCCTTTTCCATTTTTAACCACAATGGCGTAGTCGGTTGAAAGAGTACTGCTATACTCTGAGAAAGCAGGGAGGCCTGATAGTATTTGGCGATAAATGGAATGCCTAAGCCTCCTTGTAGGTATGGAA